TTACCTACCTATTTATCTTTTGTACCTAAGTATTTTATTCTATTTTTGTATGTACCTGGCTGCTATGACGACCCAATTTCCCTTCGGGGAGTGAGTAAGTAAGTCAGTAAGTCTGTCTGTCTGTCTGTCTGTCTGTCTGTCTGTTCATTGGTAGATACTGGCAAGATTTCCAAAAGGGTCCAAGTGTGCGCATGTGTCTGATATGAGGGTAAAAAAAGACTAAGGAAATTTTGTGGTTTCTTTTACCAAGATCAACAAAGAGACTGTCTTGGCCATCCTTGTTTTTCACCCGGAGGAACCCGAGGTCTCTCTCTTCCAACTTGCGTTTCTTGGTCTGTGGACTTTCAGCTACCTCACCTGCTTTGGCCGACTTCTCCCCAGAAACAGCATGTGTCCTGCTGACAGAGCATAATTGTGTAAAATTACCCAAAGTGATGACAACAGAGATATAAAAGCATTTATTTTCTCTGGTCTAAAAAACAAACCGTGTTTCGCTGTTTTCTTCCAATGAATTCATCCCAGCATCCGGGGAACATCCACTTTTGCTCAGGACTGGTTGAAGAATTGCATGGATAAACTTACCTATATATAAAAAAAGAATATATGAATTAAAGTTACATATGAAAACAGTATGTGTTGCCTCCACACAAGATGGAACATACCCATATGTATGTTGTCTTTGAAAGCTGCATTTTGGAGATTGAAGATGAGATGTCGACTGAACTTCTCTTCCGTGCTGGAGTCAAGATTGAGGACATTTTTTGTGGTGCATTCAACCCCATAAACTTCCATCAGCTTGTCACAAACATACTGTCAACACACAAAACACAGACAGGTAAATATACTCTATATCCTACATATTTGAGGTAAAAACGTACATATAATGTAATCCAGATGTTCCTCCCATATATGACAGATTCCAGAAGCAACTTTAACAGTCACATTTTTAGTTTAACATTTATGACAATACCTCTAATCTAGAACCAGACCCTTTACTAATCATACTTCTTTCATTCCCTCACATACCCAACCTGGTACCATCCCAACAATTGAAACTGAAATGTGTCAATTTAATTAAGATTTCTTTTATACCCTACAATTAGAGAAGACTGCATTAAAAACAAGCACTTTCAATTTAATAGAATTTGGCAAACCCCTAACTGCAGAAGTACATCCTGACATTAGAAGAATATAAGTTAATTATATACCAGAAATGGCTTACTTTTGTTATTACTGCTCCTATAATCTTACTTATCGGTTGAATGTCAAGTGGATACTTATATAACACATTCTTCTGCTTTATAAATGTTAAACTTAAGAACATCTGAATCATCAAGCAAGCTGCTCTTGTAGCAAGACACATTGTGAATAAAAATGCGAAAAGGATTTCACCTGGATAAGTGAAGACACCATAGTCTTCCCATCAGCTCCTTTGTTTGAGGGCTTGTGGAACTCCAAGTCAAAGTAAAGCTTACAAACAGCGCCCTCTGGTATCACCTCATAGCAGTGCATCAAGGACTGTGTGTAAGTCCTGAAAAAGAGACAAATCACCATCATTGGACTTCGACACATTGTTTTCCAAACACATCACAAGAAGATGCACCTTATTTTGCTACGTAGAACTGATATTTACCTGTAGTAATGCCACAGCTCACTGTAACTGGTAACCAGGTAGATCCTTTGACCCAGGGGGGTCTTTTCTTTTTCAAGTGCAAACACATGTACAGCCTGTACACAGGGCACAAATGACAGTGTTTTTTCCTTAGGATGTAAAATTTAAAATACAGACTAATGAGATAGTCCAGCATCAGAAACGTCTTACCTCTTTGCAGCTCTGTGCGAAGCTGATCGCCATAATTTGGCGAGGGAAAAGCTTCCATACGGAGGAAGGCTGGCACGGCCACAGTCGAGGTTTGTAGTGCGAGGCCAGAGGATTCAGCTGGAACGATTGAGCGAGCTGCTCAACCTTCTTCAGTCTGTCTCCCCACTTCTTCATCTTCAAGAGCTTCTAAACAACTTACACTGTATGTGACCCTTTATTGCACCCACAGGTTCATTGTTTGTCTACTTCCAAACCAAGGTTGGAAGTCAGCTACAGTGCAGCGCCCTGGAGATGGTAGAAATTCAGTGACTTGCTCAAGGACACTTCACAGATGTATCACAGTGGATACTTGAACTGTGGTCCTCCTGACATCCTACAACCAGAAAAACCTGCATTAAACAGAGAGAAGATTCTGTTTTTTAGCTTTACTGACATCAATGGGGTGAAAAAATAACAGAAACGCCTTGCGTCACTACAATTCAGCAGCACAACAAACAGTTGAACCAACAACTCTCTAAAACAGATTCAACAAAAACTGAACATTATAAGCTCCATGAAGGTAGGACTTATTGCAGGACTGTTGTATTAGACTGCATTAGTTTGTGCTAGGTGTACCTAATAAATGACAACTGAGTGTATAATCAGTATATAAAATACTATGTAAAAATCTGATTATAAAACATAATAGATCCTTATAGATATCCTTAAACAGTATATAAATACACTGGCTCTAGTTTGACTGTCTACAACATTTAAATGTTATTAAGATCAGTACAAATAATACAATAATATAACAAAAGTCTACAAAAAACTGTATTTTTACTTTTGATACTTACAGTAAGGTTACATGACTTAGTAAAATTAGTAAAATCAATAAAAGTAAAAATACTAGAAGTACAGTATGTATCAAAATAAAAAGTACCCATTAGAAAGGCCCTTGTCAGCGTTATATTATTATTATTATGATTACATATCATAATCATTATGTATTAACATGTTTTATATTTGTATTATAGGTTTTCAAATCTGCAAAGCAACTAAGAACTATGCATTTAAAATAAAAGTAGAGTAAGAACAATATTTCCCACTGTCTAGAAGCATAAAACTGAACTTTTGAAGCACCTTAAAGATGTAACTTGAGTAATGAGCTCAATGTTAATGAACACAGCTGAAACATCAATGTGTCAGAGCTAACTCATTTAGAGCTAGTATAACTTTAACGTTAACGTACACAGTGTCTGTAAGAGTAACGTTGTCCATAACTCACCAGTAGTTCGGGTTAAAGAGTAAAATAGTCCAGAAGTTATGTTACATTCATGTTTGTGTCCTTATTCTCACTCGGTGAACAGAAACAAACTTCAGTCTTGTTTTCTTTTTGGCGCCTCTGGAACCGGAAATGCTGCTGTTTCCGGTCAAAAGTCGTACAGTCAGCAGACAATATTATTGTTTAGATTAAAACCTGTACTCTTTATTAGAAATAACATTGTAACCTTATGATAAAAGAAAGTTAACAAGCTGTTTAAAGTACAAGCAGTGTAAACATGAGTACACAAGATTAAGACCGGACATCTCCGATTTACGACTTCCGGCTACATTTTTCAAAAATAAAAGCCTTTTACTATATTATGAGTGGATGTAACTTAAACTGTCAATGACATAAACAGACAGTAAATACAAGAACAACAGCTGCTGTGGTTGCTTGCAGAGCCATTTAAATCTCAATGACTCTCTGGTTGCTCTCAAAATAGAAATATAAAAGCACAGATATGACATATCTCATAGTGCTGCTTGCATATGTCATTAGGGCCAAATTCTATTAAATTGAAAGAGCTTGTTTTTAGGGCAATCTTCTCTAATTGTAGGGTATTAATTTAATCTTTCAGACACATTTCAATGGTTGTGACTGTAGTTTTCTTTCAGTATGTGAGCATATATATGTCTTTAAGCATTAGTAGATGTGAATATTGCTGTTGGGTCTGCATTACACATTTTTTTTGTGCCGTTAAAGTCTTGCATAATGCTGTTGGATGTGTTTAATTCTGTTTAATGTAAGCATACTGCTGTTTTGGCTGCTTCACAAGTAAAACACGTACTTGCAATAGTCTACCTGATTGTTGTGATGTTTTACCTCCATGTAAAACACCTGCAACATAAATGAAATGTATTTCTACAAAATTGTACTGCACAATATAACTTGAACCAGAATGGATATGTGTGGTTGCCTGTTTGGTCCGTGTGTATGCAAGTAATCTAAATACAATAGTAAATATATTTACATTTATTGATATATTTGTATAGGCCTACTACAGTGTTTTTTCCAACTTATACTTAATAAGAATCAAACACCAAAAATGTTTATATTTAAGTCCATACACTGTCCTCCTCTTGCACAGCCTGGCACTGCTTGGATCTAGAGAGGATGGCATGTTGTCAATACTGCTCCACCCACTTAAACTCAACACTTATCAGTGCTCTTCAGTAGGTTGTGTGCCAGCAAAAAAGGAAGTAAGAGGAAGTCAGGAGGTGGAAAATGACCTTGCAGACCTGCCCACTCTCTAGGGGACACCGAAGAAAACAACACCATATGCAGCATTTAGTCATTACCAGCATAAGGGCACATCCATCAAGTTGCTTCATGATTTATTTATTTTTTAAATCAGTGAAACTGGTAGAAAAAGTTTAATATGGAATCTGTATCAAAGCATTTTTGTTCTGTAATTTACATGAAGCAAAGTCTGTAAACATTCAGCCCATAATGAATGCAATGTGTGACATCCAAAACCTGAAGACTGAAATTAAATCCAAAAGCACTGTTGGAAATTCAGAAACTATTAATTAATTAATGCCTGAAAGGTCCAAATGCATTGCACTGCACTGCACTGCACTGCTGAAAAACCTGGAAGGCAAAATGTAAAACAGTCAGAGTTGGAAGCTGCACTGCACGAGTCAGCATTCACAGTAATAAAGACTCACACAAAAAATAGCAGCACAACACATTTATTGCTGGGTCGGACCATTTATGTTTATCTGGTTTGTAATAACATCTGCACAAAGCAGCAAGAGCTCACAGTAAGTCAGTAGCTCTAGCAGGACATAATCTCGACATGAGTGGTGTGTTATTTCCTTACACAGGAAAGGAAAAGGAGTTGCCTGGTGAGATTTTTGACTTCCTAAATGGTGGTGTTCTGCAGAGAATGATCCCACCCCTGCAGTTTTACATATATGGACTTGATTTTTTGAGTTACTCCCAGAAATAAACTGGCTTTGCTTGAGGTATGTGCCTTTCAGTGTTTTCAACATTTCAACATTCATTTAAGTGTTTAATCATTTGTGTTTGTCTTTGCCGTATTCCAATGAAGGAAGACTGATAATGGTAGCTTGAGGGCTTGTCTAAACAAAGTATCTGGGTAATAAACCAGATCATGCCATTTTTGGACTGCGTATGGCATTGTGGAACTTTTTATTCAAGTTTGGTCATGCAGATTTTATTTCAGTTTCAGCTATTTGTGCCAATAGAAGACAAGAAGAGGAAACCTTCAAAATGTGGGATAAAATAAAACTGCTTCTAGCTGCAATCATTTTCACAGCTCTCTACTGCAAAGTAAGTATTGTTTCTCTTATGATGTTTTGATGTTAAAAACAAGTCTCTTCTCTTGAAACTATTTTAAATTCTACACTCAAAGGTGACTGCAGAGGGAACAATACTAAAGGACATGGCCCCAGATTCTGTAGACAACCAGTACAAAGGATGTCCTCAAGAGGCCTTGAAGAAGTTGATCCAATCAGGCCTGTTACAACAAGAGCTCCGCAGCAATGAGTTATTCCAGAAAGCATGGAATGCAAGCAACCATTGTACAAAGCTGATCCCTGGAGGAATAAAAGAACACACTGCTGCACTTTTGGCATATATCAATGGGGATGCACAGTTTATAAGTAACTTTAACAATGCAGTGAAGACAATGGGTGTAAATGTTAGCACCTATGAAGACCGCTTCCCTTTCAAGTCCCTCCATTTCCTGCTGATGGATTCAATAAAGCTGCTGTATCCAAAAAAGTGCAAGACTCTGTATCTTCTCTCAGAAGAACCATACACCACAAAACAGGGATCAAATGTGAGAGTTGGGGGGTTCATCAAAGTTGATTCAAACTATGAAGAGGTGAAATCAATGGAAGATTTGGATGGCATGGTCATTTTTAACATCACTTCTTGCTTCTTTGCCAACCTTGGAAACAACATTTGCAGTGATGAAGGTACCGCACTCTTATCTCCAGCTGAAGTGTTCACTGTGGAGTATCTAAATAGAACAACTAATGCAAATAGGGATCAATACACAGAGGTTGTATTGAAACACTCAGAACTGGACAGCTCGCTCAATTGTTTTTCACGGTAAGACTCACATCCTCTTGATTTAAATATTTTGCTCAAACCAAAATAATAAGCTTGGAATTATGAGGTTATGTCTGAGTTATATATCAAAACTGTGTGTATGATCTTTGAATCTAACAGAATTAATGAGTAATTACTTAAAAGTGTCAAATATGTGAAATAGATACAAAGACCACATAGTTTAATGAAGAATAATATATTTTAAAGCCCCTGAAAAGTCTCAGTTCTTCAGTATTTCTCTAAATGACTGATAATGAAGTCAGAGGTCATCTAGCAGATAATAAAGTATAATTAAATTGGTTATCATGCTTTCAATTATAATATTAATGTACTAGAAATAAGTCACTTAAATTGCTGCAATGCACCAATCCAATAATTACAATACAACAAAAAATCTTCTATCAGATCTTTAAGGCTCAAACTATTTAGGTCAATATATTTTAATCTCTATATTTATTACAATGTCTTTTACTACATTATCTTCGATTTATGATCACTTCTAATTTATCTATAAAAACGTATGTTAGGTTCATTTCTCCAGTGAGTGCCTTTGTCTAAGGCACTGGCTTGGACCTGTAGTTGGTCCTCGGGTGCTGTACAGTGGCTGCCCACCGCTCCTGGGATGAGTTAAATGCAGAGGACAAACATTATATGGTTTCTGATTGTATGTGTGACAATAAAGTTGATTCCTGATTCTATTGTAAAAACAGTTTTCACCCCAAAAAGCAGAAGAGGAGCTGTGGGATTTTGTTCAGCCCTGAGTGTATTGCACCAACAACTCCAACTTAAGAAGGCAGGATAGCTGTTGCCAAAAAAAAGTTACGTAATCACTCACTACGGAGTACACTGTGATACCTGAAGGAAACTCAGATGAGCATTTCAGCATTTTAATGAACTTACAGCTTCTGGATTTTGGTGGTTGGACAGTAAGAGGACACTGTTCAGTTCTCTTTTTTTGAGCGGGGCAAAAATAGGAAAGAATGTGTGTGGGTGTGGTTTATTGACATTAAACCACTTTTATCAGATTTTGATTCAAATGTTAATTCCTGATTGGTGCATGTAGAAAGCAAAAAAAAAACAGTTGATGGAGGAAATAGGTTTTCAGGGCATTTAAGATATTTTGATGTTAATGATCTCTGTGTTTTTGTCTCTAGGTCCCCAGCTGATGTCTCCACCCAGTGGCTTGTGTTGGTGCTTGTGGCTTCCTCTCTTTTCTTCTTTCACTGAAAAAACAAAGAATTACTTCTATTGCATTTTTTTAATTATAGACTCTATCTATCTATCTATCT